ATGACTAGTTCATCATCTTGATAGTGTGACAGTCGGTGTTACATCCGATAACAGAGGCAGCTAGCCTGGCTGTTGGCATTATGCTACAGGCAATGTAGGGCCTGACATGCCAGTATAATGTGTTGGATCTTTCCCATGAGGCTCGCGTTGAATTATTTAGAGATTCCCAAAGGAATGGGAATTATAAGTGATTTTGCAGAGAGTCAGAAAGGACCCTAAATGCTAGGAAGAGGACCCCTCCTTTGTGCAGGAGAAATGCTATTTGCTTCAGAAGAGACCTGACCGTTGGGCTGAGGAAGAAACAGGGAGGCAGGCTGGAGGAAGATGTTTTTACAGGGTGCTTTGCTTTACTAAATCATTAGTTATGCTGTTGTTGAAATGAGAAACTGTTTCCTCTCCTTAAGTCCTCATCTTGTTTGTCTCCCTTTACATCCTCAACAGTAGCAGCTTATGGTCATAAATTTAATGACAAAGCAAAGCTTAATATAATCACCCATTTTCCTAGATCAACAAAATCTTTTAATCATATTTCCAGAGGAGCACTCAGGAAGTAGGGGGAAGGCTCATCAACAAGCTTCCCCCCCAGGGGGGAAGAAAAGGTTGTGGGTAATGCTGCTCCATTTAAAAGGACAGAGATCATCCTTCTCCGAGGGCTCTTCCAAATAACTGATTTCCGAGGACCAAGATACGGAATGAAACTGAGCATTATTTCCATAAATATGTTCCCATAGCTATTTGTCCTTAGTTTAAGAAAGTTAGCCAACCTCTAATTGGTGATTTCATATCTGGTGATCTCTTATAATCACCATCACCACCATCATCCAGACTACCATGTAGTATACTCATATACTGCACTGAGTACTTTATTTACTGATTTAAAAAAAAATTTTTTTTTAGAGAGGAAGGGAGAAATAGAAACATCGATGTGTGAGAGACATCAATCTGTTGCCAACTGTATGTGCCCCAATTGGGGATCGAACCTGCAACGTAGGTATGTATCCTGACCAGGAATCGAACCCCACAACTTTCTTTTCTTTTTATCCTTACCCAAGGATATTTTCTCCATTGATTTCTAGAGAGAGAGATACAAGGGAGGGAGGTGGCGGGAGAGAAACATTGACGTGAACAAGACATGATTGGCTGCCTCCTGCACATGCCCCTACTGGGGCTAGGGTACCTGCAGCGGAGGTACGTACCCTTGACAGAGGATCAAACACATGATCTTTGGCCCGAGGGCTGACACTCTAACCACTGTTCCTAACTGGTCAGGGCTGAATTTGCATCCTCCTGGTACATGGGACAATGCTCAACTAACTAAGCCACACTGGGTAGGGCTACACTAAGTACTTTAAATAGGTTAGGCCAGTGGTCGGCAAACTCATTAAACAACAAAGACAAATATCAACAGTACAATTGAAATTTCTTTTGAGAGCCAAATTTTTTAAACTTAAACTTCTTCTAATGCCACTTCAAATTAGACTTGCCCAAGCCGTGGTATTTTGTGGAAGAGCCACACTCAAGGGGCCAAAGAGCTGCATGTGGCTCGCAAGCTGCAGTTTGCAAACCACGGGGTTAGGCTAATTAATCCTCATATTGACCCTGAGAGGAATTTTTACCTCTATTTAAAGAGAAGGAAAATAATAGTGTCAACAATATAAATAAACGGTGACTGAGTATGACACTGCCAAGGACAAAGGACTAAAGAGTAGCACAACTGAAAGTTAAACCCAGGTCAGCCTGACTCCAAAGCCCCTATTGCTTCCTTCTATAGACCACTGTTTCTTCATACAGACCACTGACAGCTGCCTCTACCCCCCAACACTGTACAACCTAAATACCTTTCGCTTACATCTTATGATTTAAAAACTCCAGGAAGGAGACATGATTACTTCTATTTTTTCATTGAAGAAACCAAGGTACAGATAGAATATGAGCCTTGTCTAACCTCCCACCATGAGCGTGTGGCAAAGCTAATTCTAGACCCAGGTTCTTGATTTTCTTTCTCCCCATCCATAGTGTTTCACAATAGATTTGTTTTACAGTCAAGAAATACACATTTTAAAACTGAGAGCCCCAAATTAAGTCAATAACTTAACCTTCCTCACAAAGGAATGAAACTGAAAGGATTTCTGATACACTGAAATAAAGAACAGTGAACATATATATATTTTTAGTGATAACTTACAAGTAACAAACCATATCTGGTTGTGCTCAACCTATATCATATATCAATTAATTAGTACTGGGAGAACCCAGAACAACTTGAGAAAGACAGAGCTAGCTAAATCAACACAATAAACAAACTGAGCTTTGAACTCCAAGATCTGAATTAGGCAACCCAGATCTATATCTCATGGAGCAAACAGAGAAAGAATGAGGTGTCAGGATGTGCCCACATCCCCAATTACACATATAGGTGAAGCCTTGTCCTTCTTGTATCTCAGGGTAGGAAGGTAAAAAAGACTGATGCTGTTTGCCTGATTCCTCTTTATATAAACAGAAAAATAGACTCAGTAGAACTGGGTTCAAAAGGTCTTTATTCTTTTAGATCTAGAGAAAAATTCTAGAAGTTGAGAAAGTATCATAAAACATAGCACGGTGTTGGTAAAGTAATAATAAAATATATGGATAGGATTTTATGTTTTAAATTTTTGCAGTATATTTTAGTTCAAAATAGATAATTACACATCTTGCAGTAGACAAAGGTATCAGTAGAGGAATATGAAATTGTACTCTTGAGCTTCAAATGACTAAGGTGGAAGCATTAAACTCCAAAAAGGGACGATTCAGAGGCTGTAAAGGACTTAGTGCTATTTAAAGTAATGAAGCACTTTCTCTGCTTTCTGGATTCATTTCACCAAATGATTTCCTCAGCAGGTCAGATATAGATTTGCTGTAAGTGGAAAATATTTTCCAGGAATAAAACAACTGGTTCCTAAGGAGCAGCTAACTTAGCTTTTCCAAATCATACATTTTAGTCTGACGTGCCTTGGTTTCTCAGAGGACAGTCACTGATATTCTCAAGCTCTGCCTGACCTTGCCGGACCCTGTATTTTATGTATACTGGACATTCCTGAGAGGGAGCGACTACTAGCTGTGTGACCCCAAGTAAGCTACTCAACTTCTTCTGCTTAGTTTCTTTGGCTCTAAAATCAGATTAATAATAGTACCTCCCTCATGGAGCTATGAATGAGGATTAAATCAGTGCTTTTTTAAAAAGGCCTTGGCACAATGTAAGTACTCAATAAACCTCAACCTTTACTATCCCTGTTATAAAACAAAGCTTCTCCCAGGTATCAATCATGATCACTTGGCTCACCTTTTTTTTTCTTAGAATCAAAGCCTTAGTTCAGAAAGCCCGAGTCTCTTAGAAATGAAGAGGAAACAATTTTGTTTCTAATGCCTAACCTTTTTAAGTTTGGTCTCACAAGGAGAAGAACTAACTGAAGTCATCTCATTTGTATCTAGTTCTTTCTGTGCTTTCCAAAGCATTTTACATTCATTATTCATTTGGATCTCTCAATAATACTGTGCAGGATATATAATATCAATTTTTATTATACCAATTTTTTAAAAAGGGGACAATAAAAAATAAAGTAATTCTTTGCTTAATGGTTGTGCTGCTACCAAATGGCAGAGTTTAGAACACATAGTGTTCTTTCATCTATTCAAGTTAGATAGTCTAAGATTTCTTTGGAGCAAATGAAACCATTCTACTAACAAAAATCCACACTTTATTCAGATTTCCCCAGTTTTTCCCAAATGTCCTTTTTCTGGTGTAAGATTCCATTCAGACTATGACATTACATTCAGTAGTTGTTTACTTACTTTGAGTAAACCAGTTTCTCAGACTTCCTTATCTTTGATGACCTGACAGTTCTGAGGAGCACTGGCCAGGTAAGTTGTAGAATGTCCCTGAACTGGGATTTGTTTGATATTTTTCTAATGATGAGCCTGGAGTTACGGTTTTTGGGGAGGATACTACAAAGGTAAAGTGCCATTCTCATCACATCATGCTATCAGACGGCCTATCACCAATGATGTTAACCTTGATCCGGGCTAGTGTTTGTCCCCTTTCAATACTATACTCTGTAGGGAAGTCAACACACACACTCACACTCACACTTAAGGAGTGGGGAATGTCTACATATATTATTTGAAAATCTTCTGTATGGGAGATTAGCTTATCATAATGCATATATTTACTTATTCAATAATTTATTTCAGTATGGATTCATGAATATTTATTTTATAGTTTGAGTTATAATCCAATGCTACTTAATTTTTTTTAAAATATATTTTATTGATTTTGTACAGAGAGGAAGGGAGATAGAGAGTTAGAAACATCAATGAGAGTCATCGATCAGCTGCCTCCTGCACACCCCCCACTGGAGATGTGCCCACAACCAAGGCACATGCCCCTGACCGGAATCGAACCCGGGACCCTTCAGTCCCCAAGCCGACGCTCTATCCATTGAGCCAAACCGGTCCCGGCAAATGCTACTTAATTTTTTACTCGAATTTTTCCAGCTTTGGTTACTGGGAGCTCCTTCAGTTGGCTCTTCTGTCCTTTTGACATCCCCAACCACTGTGATTTTTTTCTGAGCACTTTCTTTTTTTTGTGGCGCAAGATGCTCCAGGTTCATCTTGCGTATGTATAGCCCTAGTCCTAGGGAAAGCCATTTCTCCAAGGAGCCCTGCCTCCTTTTACTGGAACCAAGATCTGGGCACTAGGTTCTCCCATTCTAATTATTTTTAGCCATACAGCACTAACAAAGATGCTTCATTCTGGCTGCACCAATGTGAACTGGGAACTTTGGGAGAAGAGCTCAGCTCTAGAGAACAGTAATCCCCCAAATTACTTCTTTTCTTTCAGAGAATAGGTAAGTCTAAGCAGAAACAAATAAGCAAATGATTTCCATTATAAACTAAGACAAACCATCAGGTTTGCGGCATAGTAACCAACACAACCTAGTTACAACAGAACTGCAGAAGGGTCTTTAGAATAACAGAGTCATCTGTCGGGGGTCATCAGGGAGGATGCTGATGGTGTCTTCAGCTTTGCCACATAACAAGCACAGCATGGTGTACTCCTAGAACAAGATAAGGTGCTTCATTACCGTGAGGAACCAGGAGGAAGACGCTTCCTAACTTACTCAGGTGCTGTCCTCTACATTGCCATGGATATTCTTTCTGCAAGTTAGGTCAATTTCAACACCTATAAACAATGTCTTCGGTTTATTCTAGGTATCCCATAGCCTTTTGTTTAGTATACCGTATTTTCCGGCGTATAAGACGACTTTTGAAACAAAAAAAAGTCAACCGAAAATTGGGGGCAAAAGACCAAAATTGCACAAAAATTACCTGCAGATCTTGACGGCAAAGTAAGTCTTTTCTTTGAAGTGGGGGATAGTCTTATACAGCGAATATAGGCCTAAACCGGTTTTAACTGTAAAATTAGGGGGTCGTCTTATACGCCGGAAAATACTGGTAAACTGAATACATGCTGATGCTCTATTTACAATGAATACAAGAATGCCATCTTGGAAATGCATGGCCATTTCGTGGACTTAAAAAAAAACACATATGCCGGCACCGGTTTGTCTCCGTGGATAGAGCGTCGGCCTGCGGACTGAAAGGTCCCGGGTTCGATTCCGGTCAAGGGCATGTACCTTGGTTGCGGGCACATCCCCAGTAGGGGGTGTGCAAGAGGCAGCTGGTTGATGATTCTCTCTCATCGACGTTTCTAACTCTCTATCCCTCTCTCTTCCTCTCAGTGAAAAATCAATAAAATATATTAAAAAAAAACAACAACACATATATTGGGCTTAGTTAGTGCTGTTATTTGAGTGTGGGCCCCTAAGGACAAATTCCTGATCACAGACATGTTCCTTCCTAGGATATTTAGCACTAATATGCAATAGAAATGATTTTAAAAGACTAAACAAGGGAGAAAATTCCTAAACCAAAAAAGCTATTTAACCCATCCCAAGAAAATAAAAAATTATATTAAATCCTCTAGTATGTCAAGCATGCCTCATATTTAGATAGTCAGTTGTCTGGAATTTGATCTATTTAAGGAGTTTTATGTTTCTTGGGTTTAACAAATGTTCAGACTAATGATAGAGGGATTTTGTCTTAGGCAGAAATCCTGGGGCCAAAGTCCTATTCTAATAGAGGTCCCTTTCTAAAATATTTAATATGGCCATAAACGACAGAAACATTTCTTTTAAATATTTTGCTTAAAAATCTTTATCGTCTTTAGGAAAACAAACATCTATGTCAAATCTATACGTGTTTCTGCACCTGACATTGAGATTGCTAGCTGTCTGGCAACTGATCAGTCAAGGCAGTTTGTGTTTCAAGGGTCTGGACAGTCACTAGAGAGAGGGCCACAGAGATAAACAACCTACAGCACCAAGACTCAGAACCAGGTAACTGCCTTTCCATTTCCTTCTAGTAAGTTTGGCAGGGAGCTTAATTGTGCCAATGGACTGTTTCTTAAAGACTACATTTAATTTTAAATTCTACCCTACACACACTGTAGAAATAAAGAGAGGCTAGACCTCAGCAAACAAATGCAAGTCTCATGAATTAAAAATAAAATAAAAATCCAGTCTCCCCAAGGTCTTTTACTGCCTTCAAATATTTCTGCTTTCACCCATTGGACATCACTATTAGGATATCACCCTCCCACTGGAAATGAAGAAGAAAAAGGTAATAAAGAATATGTGTGAAGCTAGATAAATATCTGAGTTTTCAACCAATCTATTCATTGACAAGTTTTTATTTAGTGATAGGAACACTGGTAGACATGAAAGAAGGCAAGGACAAAACTGCCCGTGTAAAACTTACAGCCTAACTTGGGAGAAAAAACAGACATACACCTAACATGGTATAATCTGTAAAGATTAATTTATAGGCAGTCTGTATTCCAAATTCCATTGGAGGCGAACTGTTAGGAATTCAAAAGCAGTTTCCCACAGAAGTAGTTGTACCCGACAAATTCCCAGGGACTCCAGAGAGTCTTTTAAATTTATATTATACAAGTACTATACATTCTAACCATATATAGCAGCACTTCTGTGGGAAAATATGCCTAGAATTCTACCTTGGAGTGCCAGAAACGTATCTCCATGTGCTGCCAGGAATGTGGTGGGACTGGGAAACCTTTTACCAAAACTAGTCAATTTGGGAGAATAAGAATTCCTCCCAGGCATTCACAGAGACCCTCAAAGGCTCCACCTGGGCAAAGCCAAAGGGCACAGATTTGTAAGGAAGGGCAGAATAGGTGGAATCACCTTTGGGTAAGACCAGTGGCTTATTCTGAGAGTCTCATGGCTATATCACCAAAATCCTTTTTCTCTATCACTACATATTAATTCTGACTCCAAGGCCTCTCCTTCCTGATCCAGAAGAACAGAAAGCAATCTCACCAGTTTCCTCTTGTTTCCTGGGGCAAACACATAGTCATTTTAATGGCTTCCAGGGTGATATAAAAAATAAAGAATATCAGTAATCATTCATAATGTATTTTCCACCAACTGTATACTTCTATCTATACTTTCCCCTCTATTCTTGCCATCAGAAAATCTTCTTTATTTAACATTGGCCTTGTGGTTGCTTTATAAACAGGGATACATCCTGAAATATTTGTAGAAGTAGTGATACATTGGAATTTGTATCAAAATTATCCTGTGAGGAGACATGGGAATGGGAAGGTACAAATAAAGCAAATTAAAGTAGTGATACATTTGGAATTTGTTTCAAAATTATCCTGTGAGGAGACATGGGAATGGGAAGGTACAAATAAAGCAAATTAAAGCTGGGTAATGGAGGTTAATACTCTATTCTGCCTATTTTTTTAAATTATGTTTAAAATTCCCTAAGACATTTAAAACAAAACAATACATTATCTATGGCGGGAATTGTACTTTGAACCGGAACCACTGCTGGAGTGAGATGAGGCTGGAATAGGGTGGGGAAGAGAAAACTAAGTCACAGCAGCTGAGAATGAAGACCTACAGGACCTGCTGTAGGTATAAGAAGTGCTCGGGAAAAGGAGAAAGAAGTATGGGTGGAACTATCAAGAGCAAGGAGATAAAATTTAAACTCAGCTTAAAAGAGGTAAGATTTAGTTGGTGTGAAGGTAGAGAGAGGGACCAGTCAAGGAAAAAGGCCAAATAAGGAGAGTGATAGGAAAAAGAGCAAGCATGTGCCTATGAAGTAGCAGGGAGCTTCAGAGTGATGTGCTTGAGGAAGATTAACTGCAGGCAGAGTGCAGAACTACAGTCTGGGGATTGCTGAAGTAATTTGGTTATTGTCCTTGACCCAAGGTTTGGCAAAGGAGCAAAAATAAGAGAAACAGAGGAAAGAAGAGGGCAGGTAAGATATTAGGCTTAGAGAAGGAGATTTGGAAGATATCTGATAGGTTTTAGATGAGATGGAGTGTGCTCACTATTTGAGGGAGTACAGAGAAGGTCCTAGGCCAGACACCAAAGCTTAGGGGAAAACAGGAAAGGAAACCAGAGAAAAAACAAAAGAGCAGGCTAAACGATTTAAAAGGAATAAAAAAGGTCTTTAGCACTATGAACCTAAGGGAAGAAATGCTTTAAAAAGATAGTAATGGTTAACAAAACCAGAATCAGAAGAGATGCTAAAAGAGGTAAGAACTGTTCTGGGAAATCTATGAGAGAAGAGTTTTAGAAAAGTGAAAATGAACGCCAGTTTGTACGTGGTAAAGAGGAGTGTAGAGAAATAAGGGAAGCAGGATATAAACCTATTTAAGTAATAAAGCAAAAGGAAGGAAAGATGATGAGAGGATGCATCAAAGAGGGAGTTAAGTAAAATAAAAAGAGTTTAATTTGTTTTTAACAAGTAAAGAAGAACAGAATATATTGAATGTAAAAATTTTTGGGAAAAATGGGGGGAAAAAAGACTATGCAAAGAGAGGAGGTAATATGAGACTCCTCAAGAAATGGCAGGGGTAAGCATCAGAGGAAATAAAACTCCCCTCTGTAACAGGAGGGAAGAAAGAAGTCTAACGTCAATGCTATGTGTGGTGCATATAAGGAGAGCAGTGGAAAACTAGGGAAAGTGAAGCCACAGCTCAGCAAGAACTTTGGAAAGAGGAGTTTGGACGTTACACTGTAGCTAAAGGTGAGCTAAGGAAGGGCCAATGAGGTAGTCTGATGGCAGAATTTAACATGGGAGAGGGGGAAAGTGGATGCTGAAAGAGAAAACGCTGGAGATAAGAGTTCAGTCTAAGAGAATTTTTTCAAGAGAATTTCACACTATCTGAGCATTGTGACAATAAACCATCCTCCTTTCCCAGAGTAATTTCTAGGGCAGCTTTGAAAATGGTTGCATTCAGTCATAAAGGAAAATCAGCTCGAGTTTGGTCTCATGGCAGCAATATATTATGGCTCAATTAGGGCATGAACAAGCAATCTCAATATTCATTCAGGAACTCTAAAAAGCTCTCAGGTCCTTCAGAAGCTTCTGGAAAATAGCTACTAGCATTCCTTTCCTCCCATGAAAAGATGGAGCTACTCCTTTAAGTTCATGACACGCTTATTCCCCTATCTGGCCACAGCCCAATCACTGAAATCTTGCTTTCGGCCTCGGTTACATATATCATTTAAATATTTTTTAGGTACAATTTTTGGATGCTGAGGAGATGCTGTCAAGATGCTATTTATTTATAAGCACAACATATTAGACCAGATTATGACAAGTGACTAAGTGTTTTCTTGCACACTAAAATAAGAATGAGAGTGGTTATACTATTTTATAATATTCTATCATGAAAGATTTTATTTTTTCCTAATTATACTACTACTCAAATCCGGAGAATTAAAAAAAAAAATCCCTTTGCCTGTTAAAAGCGCTAACCTAATACTTATATCCTGTGGTTGAACATTTAGTTCACACTAAATAAGTAACTCAAGCTGAAGGCTTGAAAATGGTGGCAGTGAGGGACAGACGCAGGCTGCAGTGGTTAAACTGTGCCCTTGGCTCTCCTGCGCTGTCCAGCTTTCCTTCCTGACCTTTACACCTACTTCAGGCCTACACGAACCTGTGGAATTCTGTTGCATTCTTTGCACGCTCTCACAATTGTTTAAGGACTAATCCTTATAATAAACCCCTATTCTCTGTCCTTAGAGTGGTTCAACTTCTCTCCTCCATCCTTGATATATCCATTTTGTTATTTTACTATTATTTGGTAATATTAAAATAATTACCAAATAATATTAAAATGTCTTACTGCAATAGAGATGGAGACTACAGAACTACTCAACTCCACATGCCTATTAGGGAAAACCTCCTTATCACAATTTCCATGCCCAGCAAGTATGATGGCAGTGGGTGGGCCAACACTCAAAGCCAAAAATTGTACAATCATATAATTAGGTAGAGAAAAAAAAGATGCACGATAATAACCTCATAAGAATGTTCTTCCTAAAAATGACTGGACTGAGAAATCATTTGTAAGATACACACTCTGATTTCTGATTCTTGGGAAGACAGATTTGAGCAGATCCACCCACATCTAAGTTTCTCTCTCAAGTTACACAGGTAGAAGAGAGGAATGGTCTCTTCTATAATAATATTCACTAGAACTTCATTTATGAAAACTATATCAGATTTTCAAGAGTCTTTTATTATCTTCCCCTACCAATAACATACCCGTATTTATACATTTACCTGAAATTCATCCATGATACTGAATGTATATTCATGCCTGGCTACTACGTGATGACAATTCTGACACAGATCTGCCGAAAAAGAGAGAGATTTAAATATTAAATAATTAAGTCCTAGAAGGTGTCTTAAGGCAGTAGAATTTCTATTCTCAGCAATGGTATTGCTTTAAAACATCTACCTTGATAAGAAATCCAGAATCCATGACATAGCAACACTACATAATTAAAAGCCTAAGTTCAGACACTCGATGTGCATATATTAATTCCCATTGAATGTTCTCTAAGGTAAATCAGTAAACAGATATGTAAGTTTGTTTTTTTTAAACCAGCTAGATCTATCTAACCATGTAAAAGCTTTTATTCTCAGGAATGATAGAAATTGTGCTATGACAACCAATCATAAATAAACAACTAATGCTAGACATTAGTGGTTAAAAAAAAAAAAAAAAAGACTCTAGTAAAAACAATATGATAGCCCTAGCCAGTTTGGCTTGTTGGACAGAGCATGAACCCATAGACTAAAAGGTCCTCATTTTAATTCTGGTCAAGGGTATGTACTTCAGTTGCAGGTTTGGTCCTGGTCCTGGTCAGGGCTCAAGTGGAGGTAACCAATCAATGTGTGTCTCTCACATTGATGTTTCTCTCTCTCATCCTTTCTCTAAAAAAATCAATGGAAAAATATTCTCAGGTGAGGATTAACAAACAAACAAACAAACAAACAAACAAAAAGGTCTACTTACGATCATAGGTAACTATTTCTTCTCCATCTTCTTCTTTCAAAGATTTGTTTGTGATCAGCATAAAATCCCGCTTACCGCACACTGCACAGCCAGTAAAGTTCAGCAAGAAAGATCCATTCTCCAGGCAAATGTTACCCTAAAATAATAAAAATAGTAATTTAATTTTTTTATATTTCAAAATCCTTGGTGAAAATGATTAATAGATTTAAAATCTTTAAAGGCAAAAAAGAACAGCACCAAAATTTACTTGCTTAAAGGCAAAACCAATTAATTTTTGAAATTATTATTTTTTCCTTTAGATGTGCTATTAATGGTAAATAAAACAAGTGATATTAGAGCTGTAAGTCTCTGAAGTCTGCAACTATGTTTAAGAGAAATAAATGTAAATGGATATTCAGAAACAATTAATGAAGCTTTAGTAATATAAAATATGAAAAGAGAATTGGGGGATTTGGGAGTAATGGGGGAATAAGGACACATGTAATACCTTAATTAATAAAGAAATTAAAAAAAATAAAATATGAAAAGAAAAATTAGAGAAACCTAACCACAAATAATATTAGATGAGGTATCTTATCATAAAACCAGAATTAAAATTCAATCAAAATGAAAACACTAAGCCAATGAGAAAAATTATCTTATACACTGCAATGCTTAGTTGATTGTTGAAACAGCATTTTCTGAAGACTTAAAAATACCATTATCATAAATTAAAAAAAAATAGACTCTTAGCTCTATAGATGTCGGTCCCAATGGATATGTATGATTCAGGTATAGGAAATAAACTCTGCAATTCATCAGACTAACATCATGGCAATTCAAAGAGAAAGGGTTTTGCTTCATCACTAAGAAACTAAACAATTTATGCTCCTGGCTCAGGGGAAGTCTTTGTTCATGGCTTACTAATAACTGTTCACAACTAAAAGCCATTTCATAAATAATTTACTTCAATCTCATTTCTGACAAGCAAACAGAGTATTTTTAATAGTTAATGTGATTAAAAATAATTTAAATAAACATTTCTCCAATGTAGCTGTGTGCCTGACACTGTGCAAAGAATAGTGGAGAATTTGAGGATAAGTCACACGTTTCTGCTCTCCAAGAGCTTATGAAGTGTGGGGGAATTAAGACCCAGCTGCAGTGATGTCACAGTGAAGCATTCCTGGATTCCCTAATTAACTTCTCCTTTATGAGTAGCACCTCGGTGCTATGTATTAAGGAAGAGATTAACTGTGATAGGGGAAAATCAAGCTAACCATATAGCTAGAAGACATTAAATCATAGGCACATGGACTTGAAAGACCCCCAGAGGGAGACCCTCACTCTGTCCCACGGATCGACGGCAACCCCAATCAACCGCAAGAGGCGTCACTTGATGCCAACAGCAAGAGGCTTTATTCCAGCGTGATGGGGCTCAACTCGTAACTCACGCAGGAGCAGAGGAGTCGAGCCCCGAGCAGAAAGTCTTACAAGTATATATAGGCAAAAACTACATATCGGGAGGGGTTACACATGGAGGGTGAAGAGGGGAACAAAGGAATTCCAAAGGGGAACTGGGCTCCTTAATAACATGTTTTATGACCAACTGTCAGGGCATTGTTTACTCTGTTATCCTGTTTCTCTTATCTGTCAGAGCAATGTTTGCTCCATTTGTTCCTTGCTCGGGGGCTGTTTCCTGAGACAGCTTTAAGGGCTCTGTTCCCATCACTGGCCAGAGGGAGACCTTGGGGAGTTGAGATAAAACAGACAGCTTTTAAATATTTTTATTCTTTCAGACTTAACTGCTAAAGAAGGGGAAAACCTTGAGATTAAAATATAAATTTCCAGCTATTAAGAACAAGTGTTTTTGCTTTGATTAAAAAAACAAGCTGGCACACTCAGTGGTTGAGTATAAACCTACTAGAGGCCCAGTGCACAAAATTCATGCACCGATTTGGGGGGGAGGGGGGATCCCTCAGCCCGGCCTGTAATCTCTTGCAGTCCAGAACCCCTTGCTCCTTACTGCCTGCCTGCTCACTGTTCCTTGCGCTGCTGCAGAGGCAGGAGAGGCTCCCACCACTGCACTGCATTTGCCAGCCATGAGCCCAGCTTCTGGCGGGGCGGTGCCGCCTCCTCCCCCCTATGGGAGCACACTGACCACCAGGGGGCAGCTCCTGCATTGAGCGTCTGCCCCCTGGTGGTCAGTGCGTGTCGTAGCAACTTATTCTGCTGTTCGATTGATTTGCATATAAGGCTTTATTTATATAGGATGAACCAGAGGGTCATGGTTCTATCACAGGTCAGGGCATGGTCAGGGCACATGTCCAGGGCAAGCTCAATCCCCAGTAGGGGCATGCAGGAGGCAGCCAATCAATGCTTCTCTCTCATCATTGATGTTTCTCTCTTCCTCTCTGAAATCAATAAAAATATTTTTAAAAAGCACCAACTCTAGTGAGGTGTAACTTAAATACAATAAAACCCACATATTATAAGGATATTGGTAAATGACTTTTAATAAACATACATGCCAATGTAAACACTACCCCAATCAAGATATAAAAATTTCTCTTTCCAGTAAGTTCCTTTATGCTTTGCAGTTTATCTCTAACCCCTCTCTCATCTCAGGCACTGACTGATCTGATTTCTATCTCTAAAATTTTGCCTCTCCTGAAGTTTTATATAAACAAAATCACGCAGTATACTCATTTGCATTTAAATTTTTTTTGCTCAGCATAATATCCATGTTAATCACCTCTGTTGTTATATGGATTGGTAGTTTGCTGATTTTTATCGCTAAGTAGTATACCATTGCATGGATTTATCTGTTGACTAACATTTGGGCTCTTTTCAGGTTTCGACTATTATGAATAAAGCAGCAGTAAGATTCATGTATGTCTTGTGTGGAGATATGCCTTTCTCTTGGGTAAGTCATTAGAAGTGGAATTGCTGAGTCATACAGTAAAAGCATTTTATATATATATATATATATATATATATATATATATATATATACACACACACACACACACACACACACACACATTATAAGAAACTGCCATATGGTTTCTAGGTTTTCCATTTTCTATTCCCACCAGCAATGTGTGAGTTCCAGTTGCTCCCCCGTCTCACCAACACTAGGTATTATAAGATTTTTATATTTAATTTTAGCCATTCTAATTATGTAAAGTGGTATCTCATTGTAGCTTTAGTTTGCATAGCTCTTATCCTATATAACAAAAGCCTAATATGCCAATTGACCAAACAGCAGAACAACCAGCAAAATAACTGATCACTATGATGTGCACTGACTATTAGGGAGCAGACACTCAATGCAGGCGCTGCCCTAGCCCACAGGCCCCAGGCCAGCCAAGGTGGGTGCCCGTAGGGGGGATTCCCCCCCCTCAAGGTCACCCCACAGATCAGCCCTGATCGCTGGCCAGGTCTAGAGACCCTACCCGTGCAAGAATTTCATGCACCAGGCCTCTAGTGAATAATAAAGATGAGTATCTTTTCAATCTTTTCATGGTGTCTATTCATGTATCTTCTTTTATGAAGTAACTATTCGAGTCTTGGGCCCATTTTTTTAAAAGTTAGGTTGTTTATCTTATTGACTTATAAGTTACTAGAGGCCCGGTGCATGAAATTTGTGCACGGGAGGGGAGTATCCCTCAGCCCAGCCTGCACCCTCTCCAATCTGGGACCCCTCAGGAGATGTCTAACTGCCGGTTTAGGCCCAATCACTGTGGGCAATTGGACATCCCTCTCACAATCCGGGACCCCTGGCTCTTAAACACTCGGCTGCCTGCTTGATTGCCCCTAATTGCCTCTGCCTGCCTGTCTAATTATCCCTAACCACCTCTGCCTGCCTGCCTGATCACCCCTAACTGCCTTTGCCTGCCAGTCTGATTGCCCCAACTGCCCTCCCCTGCCAGCCTGGTTGCCTCCAACTGCCCTCCCCTACTATCCTTGCCCCCTAACTGCTTGCTCCCCCATGTTGGCTTGATCACACCCCTAACTGCTTGCTCCCCCGCACCAGCCTGATCTCGCCCCTACTTGCTCCTCCTTACCGGCCTGATCTCACCCCTAACTACTTGCTCTCCCACACCAGCCTGATTGCCCCAAACTGCCTGCCCCCCTGCCGGTCTGATCACCCCTAACCACCTCTGCTTTGGCCCCTGCCACCATGGCTTTATCTGGAAGGAAATAGGACGTCTGGAAGATATCAGGTTGACCCGGCCTCATTAGCATATTACCCTTTTATTAGTATAGATTACTGATCTATAAGATTTCTTAATATCTCTTAAATACAAATCCTTATCAGACACATGTTACAAATATTTTCTCCCTGTCATTGTTTTACCATTTTTATGGTGTCTTTTGAAGAGCAGTTTTGATTTTTTTGAAGTCCAATTTATCTATTGTTTCTTCCCTTATTTTTGGCTTGTCTTCTAAGACATATTTGTTTACCCCAAAGTTACAAAGATTTTTCTCCTGTTTTCTTCTAGAAACTTTATAGTTTTAGCTTGTTGGTTTAGGTTTACAATCATATTGAAATAATTTTCATATATAATAATATTCATAAATGATATGAATAATCCAGTTTCATTTATTTCCTTATGAATATTCAGTTGTTCCAGAAACATTTACTAAAAAGACTATCCTTTCCTCATTGAGTAACATTGGCACCTTTGCGGACTATACATATACAGGTCTACTTTTGACTATTCTGTTTGATTTATATATCTTTCTATGCCACTACTATCACACTCTTTTGGTTACTGTAGTCTTTGAAATCAGAGTCGTTCAATATGCACATCTTTAACTTTATTTGATAACGTTAAACCTCTTTTCAAAGAGGCTGTCCCATATGAGTTTTCCTGTTTTTACATAAAAAGACTAAATAATACTCAAAATATTAAGAGACTAAAGAAACTATAGAGATTTCCTACCTCTCACCCAATACAAGAATCCCTGTTTTGCTATTTCCCCCCTTCATTCTTTTCTACCCTAGTCACAACGAACTTTCAAGTCCCAACTTAAGTCCTTTGGGGGGGGGGGGGTAGGGGTTACTATGTTATACCCTAATGCTCTCTCCATTTTCTCTAAACCTAAATGACATTTATGGACTGTAGTACTCAATTCTTGTTTATCACACACTTCCCCAAAAGATAAGTTCTTAGGCAGCAATGAAGCTTACTATTTCTTCTTAGGTACCCCTTTGTAATCTAGCCAACGCACACATAACAGTTCAGTAAGTACACCATGAATGTTGCATGGGAGTAAACAAGTTTGCAACCTCCCAAGTTTGAGAGGAACATAGATTTAAAAGATTAACAGCCATGAAAACTACCTTCTAGTCTTGGCTCTCACACTAACTACAGTATGAACCTGGGCAAGTGGTTTCCCCTTTCGAGGGCATTAGTTTTCTCATCTACAAAAGGGGGCTGGCACAGGTGACCTCAGAGGTCCCTTCCAGATCTAGAAGGGATTTAGAAGGGATTTCTGTAAGAAAAATTGAACTTCATCAAATGAAGCTTGCGGGTGAGACCAGGGGGAGGGAAGGGAATGCATGTTGCCAACTGGGTTGCTGGTGGTGGGGTTTTCTTGGTTGTCTCCTGCAACTAAAGAGAACTGGGATGACGGCTGATGTCACCCACAAGGGCTGGGACGGAGGGGAAGGGCCGCCACAGCTGTCGGGCGCCCGGCCATTGGGACAGCAGAGCTGCTGAGCCCGCCCCGCGCCCGGCCTCCCGGGGAAGGCCAGCCGCAGGGATGAGAAGCCCCAGGGTCCGGGCACGGCTGAAGGAGCGGGAAGTTCTCGGCGCTCACTCGCTCACCCGATTGGGATATTCCTTCTCCACACAGTCCCCGCACATAGCGACGCCGGTAACGGGGAAGGTCCTCCTGTACTTCCGGGAAGGCGAAACCTCGCGAGAACTGAGAGATTGACGCATGCGCCCTAAGTACTCGCCCCCTAGAGTATTTAGTCTGGGAACAGGAGTCGAAGTCCCCGCCCCTTAGCAACTGTTGTTAGGGCACGACGCGGGTCTCTGCCGCAGCCCTGGGTAGGACTTCAGAAACGGTGGGAGAAAGAGCACCGAGTGGCGGGAAGAGGGAAGGGATCTTGGACGAGCAAAGTTCTAAAAGGCGTCTTCCTGAGTCTGGGCTGCCAGTCACAATACACAAGAAAAGGAATTGTTTCTCATGTTCAGCTTTCGTTCAACCTTTCAGCTGCCTTGGTTTACTCCGTATGTAAAGCTGAAATTATACTTTAAATATTTTTCCTTAGCCATTTCTTAGGGCAGTGAGAATGATAGATCAGATCCCAGCAGATGGATAAGCAATAACTGATGTGTTTGGGAAGAAGCACTTCAAGTGGGAAGAAGCACTTCAAGCTTTGCAGAGACTCTCCTAAAAAGAACATGTGAAACATAGTAAATGACATTCCTAGAGTCCTCTGTGTGTCACAGAAGCACCTCAGTGGCAGGCAAGCACTATATAAATAGAAAATGGCCAGGTCAGGTATCTCTGCATCATTTCCCAATTCTGTGCAGCTCAAAATGCTTGTGATTGCTGCCCTGGTTGTTTTTTTAATAACCATTTTAAAGCAAGCCGGTTTAATGGGGCTTGCTAATATGGGAATTCGATATCCACTGGAGTGTTGAAATGGTAACCTTTGGTATTTCAACCTCTGGTAAGAATCTGCAACAGTTACTAAAAGTCATAGGTGTGCTAAGAAGCACTACAGGAACTAGTGCATCAGTGCTCACTCTATTTTTGAAATAATTATAATGCCATGCCTTTTTCCATTTGTACATGTTACACCCAGATTTGTGATCCCTAAGGACCACCAGGGAGCCGAGTCCGATGCAATTGCAGAAAGCCTGAATTCCATGCTAGCATGGCAGAAGAGAGGCCAAACTTTAACAGGTCAAAGGGTTTTATAAGGGTGGTGATGTCACTCCTTTGGCTGGCCCTGATTGGTTGGGTAAGGGCTAGGGTCCAGTTACACAAAATGGAGGATAGCTCTGCCCTGCTCCGCCCTGCCCCACAGTACAAAATGGGGTCAGGAGTTAGCCTCCCCCCACGCAGCCCTCTCAGTACACATTTTCAACATTTCACTTTCTAATTTTATGCTTTTACAACCCTGTAAGATTAGTAATGTGAACCCCCAGAAGAAATACATCTACCAAATAGGACTCCTCATGGTTAACTGGGCCCAAATTAATAGAATCTAGCAGCCATTGCTGACAGCGGCCTCTCACACCCACTGTCTGTCAGGAAAAAGTCACAGAACTGAGCTGTCAGCTTCCGGCACTGTGTGCTGTAGCCACCTGAGTCCACTCCTCTAAGGGAGTTCCAACCATGGAGTGAGACCTGCCCGGACCAAGGGAACTATAAAGCTATATACTCCTAGCATCTATGTTGACCAGTCAGAGCTGTTCTCTAACGAGACCAATCAGAATGCAGAATTCCAACCAATCAGGATAGAGCCATCTGGACCTTTCATAACTGTGCTTCGGATTCCTTGATTGCATAAAAATCAGGAAACAAGGCGGGGAGTTTCTCAATAAAAGGTGGCTTCTCCTTTTTCTCAGTGGAGCACAATTTTGTTTTTTCACCAGAGAATATGTTTTCCTGGTTACAAATTGTGCACAGGAATAAAGCCTCTCCTTCACACTCAAACTGGGAACTGTTGTTGACAGTGAGAAAACTATGTTTTCCATTTTCAGATGAGAAAACCAAGAAAGTAAGTGGTTAAAGGTCTTGTCTATGGTAAAAAAAAAAAAAAAAAAAAAAAAAAAAAAAAAAAAAAAAAAACTAGTCAGTAATCTATCAGGACTAGGATATAGTCCCGACTCTAGGTTCAACCGAGGATATGTTTATTAATTTTAGCGAGAGGGAAAGATGAGAGAGAGAAGCATCAGAACATTGAGTGGTTGCCTTCTGCACTTGTCGTAACTAGGGATCAAACCTGCAACTTACGTATGTACGCAGACCAGGAAGTGAATCCCAAACCTTTCAGTATGTGGGTCCATGCTCCAACCAACTGAGCCACACCAGCCAGGGTTGGGCTCAACTTCTTTTTAAGAAAGTGGCTCATTGCCATATGTGTCTATAAAGGACTTTTAATGTGACAAATTTGAACTGAAATGTCCTGTAATTACATCTTTGATTCTAGATTTAGAAAACTTAGTATGAAAAAAAGTAAAATATTTCATTAGTAATTTTTATACTGATATTGAGATAAATGGGCTAATTATTAAAATCAATTTCACCTATTTCTTTTTTTAATTTGGCTACCAGAAAACTTAAAATTACAAATGTAGCCAAAACTGGTTTGGCTCAGTGGCTAGAGTGCTGGCCTGCAGACAGAGGGGTCCCAGGTTCGATTCTGGTCAAGGGCATGCATCTTGGTTGCAGGCACATCCCCAGTAGGGGATGTGCAAGAGGCAGCTGATCATTGATTCTCTCTCATTGATGTTTCTAACTATCCCTCTTCCTTCCTCTCTGTAAAAAATCAATAAAATATATATTTTTAAAAACAAATAAAATTACAAATGTAACTTAAATTATATTTCTACTACACAAGGCTGGTCTAAGCAATTCTCTTTCTTTTTATTGATTTTTAAATGCATCCTTTATTTTTAAAACCTAATGGTGACATTTAACATTACTAACCACTGTATCTATTGTATTCAATTCTATAAACATTTGTTGAGTTCCATCTCTGTGCAAGGAACCATGCAGACAACAGGAAGATGAAAAAGATGTTCCTTTCCTAGTCTCCAGAGATTCACAATAGAATCTGTGAGATGAAGTGAGCACAAATGCCTATGATTGGAAGCTTGTGGTTTTAGACCACCAGATGGAGAGACCTCTGGCAGATGGGGGATTGCAAAAGAGGAATTTGGGTCTTGAAGAATGTAGTGTATAGGGTTTCAAAAAGCAGAATGTTTCATACAGGAATTCCAGGTGGACCATACCATCGAGATTGGATTTTATCGTGTAGGTGATAGGGAGCCACTGAAAGTTTGAGCAGGAGAAGGATATCAGAGTTGTGGTTTAGGGAGATTATTTTAGCAACATTTTATTGGAACTGGTGGAAACTGGAAGTAATTGGATATGCAAAAGGCAAACACAAACATGAACCACAAGGGGGAGATCTATAGCTTTCTGCCTCATCCCTAATAGAGAATGTTCATGATTTTTTAAAACTTTTTATTAAAAATCACCCTGCAATACAGTGCAGAGGAACATACAGTTCTTTGTAAAGGAAATACTGTAAAACATTCCTCATTTTTGGAGTTAAAAGTCAAATGCTACAGGATCCAGTGGATGTTGCTGAAGCCTTCGGGGTCTCCCAGGCCCCCCTCTACTTCTAAGTAATTCATGAAGGCAGCTTATTCTTATGAAGGTTCTACCAATTTTTATAGATTTGCACCCACTTTCACAGGGGTCTGGGGAAATGTGATGTATTTCTTCAAATAGAACTTTCTACAGACCCCTTTACTCAGCGAACTGGTTTTAAACTCACTAGCTGCTATTTTTTGCTAAAATATTTCTGACCAAGAGTATCATATACATCTTGCTTTGTTTTTGTTTTTATTTATTTTTTATGAAGTTTTTTTTTGAATTTGAGAAATTTAATAATGATGACAACTTTTTTGGTCTCAAGATTCATTTAATTGACTTATAATAGTAGACTTGTGTGATTTGGAACATTTCCATTTCTTGTATATTTTCTTAATTGAGGACAGGGCTTATGTCTTTTTTAAGAAAACAGTGAGTACTTGAACACTTAAAGGGACAATGCAATTTATAGTCATGTTCAGTCTTTTAGACTTGGGCAAGCACAGAGCCAGGATATTTATACCCAGTTGAGCACTTTGAGGTGGATGTTAAATGAGATGACTTTTATTTAAAACTCAGAAAAAGTTTGCTTACAGAACAGGAAAGGTTCTGGGCCCTAGATGTTGGTGATTAATTTTTGTATGTTTAATCTTAATGTAACCACTCAAGATATACAGATAGAAAAGGTTTTCTATGTTGAAATGTTACGTAGTAACCGATTATCTTAGAGGAAGAAACAGGCCCAGCAGATTAAATGTTTTGTGTAAAGACAATTAAATTCATATGTTTTTAAATGCGAAAAAAAATATATAAAAATCACCCTGCAAAGATCTTAAGAATTAAGTTCTTTGTTATGGACTTATTTTATGTTCTGCGTCATGAGAATCAGTCTACATATTTACTAACATCTTTACTTTTCAAAGTGATATGGTATCTTGTTATTAAAATGAGAAAGTGAATAAAAAGGTCATCTTATTCATAGGCACAAAATTTTAAGAGCTAATGGCTACCCACCCAATGAAGCTCCCTATTCAAATATAACCATGCTCAGGAAAGAGAATCAGCAAGTGAGACTGCAAGAGGAGGTGGACAGGACCAGAAATTAACATAAGATTATGGTAATAGGCATATGAATGCCTGTGAGGATGGCAGGTGGAAGACAGGAAAATAGAGACTACAAAGAAGAAGGAAATTAGCACTAGAAAGGAATGATCAAGTAGTGGTGTACAATAAGTTTGAAAAGCTTACCCCCAAAATCTATTTTCTTTTCTACGTAATTATGTTAAAGCAAAATTTGTAGAAAATATTTAAGGATTACCTTCTAATAGGATGTTCTCTTTAAGAAACATGCAATGTCAATAACGTACGTCAAATATACTCACAGATTGCAGTTAATGCATAAAATTACTTCTTGCTAAATGAATCCATTTAGGTAGCTGTAAATGTTAACATTATTCAATTACATATGCAAAACTTTGTCCCGGGACAAGATTAAAATTTTCCCCTTAAGAGTTCAGTTTGAATCTCCCAACATCCTCTTTCTAGCACTTCTTTTCTTTTGCCTTTTATTTTATTTAAAAATATATTTTTTATTGATTTT